TTTTTTTTGCGGCGATATCCAAACATTGCTTAACAAACTCACCATCTTTAAAAGGCCGACAAGTTTTCGCTATTATTCGAGATATTTCAAAGCTAACTTCAGTGGCTGTTTCAGCATCTTGAATTGGTTTTGTAAACATAGATTGCTGGCCTATTAGTTCCCGTTGTAAAGTGGAAATTCTTTGCGTTCGATTTTCGCCAGTTAATTTGGTAAAAGTTGGATGCTGGGTTTCATAGTGCCTTTTCACATTATATTCCTTCGGAATAGAAACACTACTCTTGCATATTAAACAGACAATTTTGTTATGCGATGAAATAAAAAAGTATTTTTCGGTCCAAATATCATGAAACTGTCGATTTTCATCTTCAACCTTACGACTACGTTTCTTACTGGGGCCTGGTTTATCCATATCAAAATTAATATTATATGTTACAGTCGGTAAAAGCCAAGTTCGAACGACGAAATATTTACTCGTCACAGATTACAGTTCTCAAACAGTATAACGTTCGCTTATCCGTAGTCAAAACTTAACTGCCCCGGTAGCCGGCGATGCGTCGTATTTATACGAGTTACCAAACATCGAGAACCATCCACTTTGTTCGGGGATCGACGTGTTTCGCGAATCTGTAATCTAGTTGATGCGACAGATTTCTAGTCTCGTAATAATATGCTTGGACCGGAGCGCGGCGAGTAGAATAATTTTAAAATTCGTTGGCGGGCCGCATAAACATCGACAGCGGGCCGCATGCGGCCCGCGGGCCGCGGTATGTGCATCCCTGGTGTAAAGGAAATGTAACTTCTATATAATAAAATATTCTAAAATTAAATATCTACTTTTACTTATGTATATTGTATATATCCGGGAAAAAAGTACTCACTTTTTTCCCGGGTAAAACAGCAATTTCATAAAAAGTGACATTTTGTTACCTGTCAATAGAGATCAAATGTCAAACTTTTTTCCCGTTACAGAAAAAAAATATTATATAGAATGTAACGATTGTTCTGGAGGTAAATTGGCCAATGAAAGATCACATAGCGAACTAGTGTTTTATTTCGCAAATTAAACAGAAAATAATTGAAGCGAACATGCTTAATCCTCATCATCAAAGGAATAACTTCTAATCCAGTCAGCGTAGAAGCTAACCTTGTTGTAGACAGATGGTGCTCCTGGTCTAGCACATGGATTGGCTGTCCAAGACGCGATACCGATCAATATTTCTCCATGGGCATCAGCCAGTGGAGTGCCAGAATCTCCAGCGCAAATTGAGATTCCTCCAGTCAGTGGTCCCGTACAAATATTGGCTTCGAAGTCCAGGGGAATTTCTCTACCTCCTCCTAATATTTCTTCAAAGGCGTGTCTGCATTCTGAAATAAGATTGGTTAGGGTTTTCCTTAGACATCGAAAGGTATTTTGAATTTACCCTCATGTTCAAGGATGGGTACCTCGATAAATTGGAGTGTATCGGGCATGATGGGTACATCAGTTCCAGTGAGGGATCCCCATCCTGACAAAAATCCGTTGCGCTCTATGATTTCGTGGTCTGGGTCGGGGAGCTCTATCGGTTGTACCATGTGGTTGAACATGAGCGGATCAGACAGCTTAAAGATCGCGATATCGTGGGGGGAGGCGGTTTCACTGAAAAGGAAATAGGTTTTGGATCTTTGTCTGCGTGGCTAAATCATTAAATCAACACCTCGTTCAGCAACTAAAATATATATAACTAGTAACAGTTTAAACTGAAACAGATTTATATTGAAATACAAAACTGCCATAAAATTTATAGAAACTGTGTCACTGTAAGTGTCAATTTATTATTATTTTTTTATTTTAAACCAGCATTTATCAATTACTTCAATAGTGACGTAATATGATCTTCTGCCAATCCATTTTTAACTCATTTTACTTACGCAGGAAGAAAATTTTTAGTTGCAATGCACACTTCCGTCTCCAGTTTTAAGAATTGCAGATTTATCTTCTTAGAAACGATTGTTAATTGTGAACTGAGGGGTTTGGATCGTGCCGAATTGAGTTCTAAGACTTTTTCGTACAATTCGCGTCCACAAGAATAGATAAAAAACAAACTTACCCTGTGTATCCGCTGTGGATGATCGCGTAGTCGACGCGGGCCACATGTCTCTCCGGGTTGTCATCGTGGAGGTCGACGACGCCGACTAAAATCTCGTATCTGGCAATATCTGGAGCTTGGGTGATACAGTGAGCAGCTGTCAGGACCGCTAGTTCGCTGATGATGGCGCCACCGCAGGCATGCGTACAGATATCCTGGATGCACAACTGGACTGAGGCCTGGTAAGGGAACTGGCCCGGTTCGGCTTCGTCACCTCCTGCGATTCGAACACTGGGAACATCTTTGGGAGCAGCTGGAAGAAAATAATCGATATTTTGTGCTGGCGTATAAATTTGTTTAACGATAATTCAAGAAAATTTTTACCTTGAAAGATATCATCTTTTTGAAAACGGCGATAAATTTACTAATGTTAAAATGTAACTTATTACCGCAGCAAATGTAAACTAGCAAATTCAGATGTGCGAAAATGGTACGACGCGCTTAACAGACCGTGCATCATTTTCAATCTGCAGAGACTCTCCACAATTCACCATATTAACAAATATTTCTAACAGTGTAGCTTAAGGTGGTATGGATTCTCCAAAAAAGTAAATAAATTCGTAATCTGTATATTTATATTTGAAAAAATATAAGCATACCTTAATTTTACTTGTTATTTGCAATATGTTTTAAAAATAAAATGAGTAGGGTAACTTGGAGAGTTCTGATCCATTTCTCACCCACTTTTACCGCCCTCCCCCCATCTTTTTCGTCGCCCCTCCCATTTTTTCCCAAGCGGATGAATCAGAGAGCAGAGAGTTCTAAATCACCCAATCAGAGAGTGGAGAATTCTAAACAACTCAATCAAAGGACTGAGAATTCTAAACCACCTAATCAGAGAACGGAAAATTCTAAACGACCCAATCAGAGGATGCAAAGATATTTGCAATAAATTTAAAAAATGTTTTCTAACTATTCAGAAAATACATTACGAAATAGTTTCCACAAAGAAGCATTTCCGACCGTATTATTTGCGCATGAAAGTTCATCCTCGAATTATATCGATTATCCTATTATTTTTAGCAAAAATATATATTAAAATTATTGATTTGAAGAATTGATTACAGTTTTATTACTATTTCCCTATCTTATTCCAATCACCTGGAGTGTTTTATTTGTGTTGTTAGTAGCAACTTGGTATGTTATAAATTATAGAGAGTTTTGGTACCACTTTAAGGCAATCAGTTACTTGGATGATGCGCCTGCCTTTACTGGTGTTCTATAACATTAACGCTATTCTTAAATAAAGGGTACTAGTGCTGGTTTCTACCCTAGATCTTAGGGATTTCTTAACGCTAAGAAAAGAGTAACTTAGCCTAGATAACCCTTTTGATTTCCACGGAATCTTCTTGATTGTTTAAACTTAGAGTGTCAAAAGCTCTGTTGCAAGCGTCCTTCATTTCCTACTTACGATTTTAATTGTAGAAAATCATTTCAAGATCTTATTCGTCACCAGTTAAGCAAATTTTCTTTGCCTAATCGAAAAATGGGGGACATGTTAAATCAAAATGTTAAAGAATGTATGGTAAATATTAACAATATCCTCGAAAAATTTTTACCATTTGTGCTCTTCAAAATGTTTTGACATTAATATTCGCAACAGTAGATTTTGTTTTTGTGGCAAACATCGATAACATTTTTTTATTATCATGTACTTGTAATTCTTTAAATATATAGATAATTTTTTATATGAAATATTTGTTCATGTAAATGAGTCTATCGAATACGGTTTCCAAACTGTAAATTTTTGAATGCGCATCCCTGTAATACATTTAGGATTTGTGCAAAGTCTCTACAGACCCAAAATGATGTGCAGTCTGCTGTACGTTGTACAATTCCTGCTAATCTGAATTTGCTTCAAACCAGAAATATATAATTTTACAACTTTTTTTAGGTTATGATTTTGTACCTCCTAATGTCTCTTGATTAAGTATTTTTAATTTTACTAAGAAAGTGTACTGTTGTCAAAAGCGCAAAGAGAGGATTGTGTCTCTGTATTGTTGTTTGTTCATTTAGTAAGTATAGTTGATACAAGAAACACTACTGCAAAAAATTAAAGGAACAAATATATTTCGTAAATTTATTTGTGATTTTTGAATCACTGTATCTCAGTGAAAAATGGTCGTGTCTATATAAAAAAATATATTTTTGAAGCTTGAAGTCTCTAGTTTCAAGATCATTTAACAAAACATATTTGTGAGCTGTGAATTTCGTGAAGTTTTGTCAATTTTTTTTCTTTTTGGACTGCCCACGGACCCAGGAAATTTTTTCAAACTCATTAAATATAAAGGTCAGTTACAAGGACCTATCATGGTTTGTGAAGAAATTTTTTTTTTACCCTTGACATTAATTTGGAAAAAAAAAGTGCAAAATAATTATTTTTTACTGTTTTTTAGAAAATCTACCGCTAATTTACAAACATTAAGGAACAGACTAATGTTGAAAGAAATTTTTACAGCTTAATGTACCGACAATAACCCTGTAAATTGACAAGTCGATCCATCTAACCGGTTTTCTATTCCAATTGATCAAAATTTTGGAAAAGAATTAAAGCAACAGATTTATTATCAAAATGAAAAAGAAAAGATTTTCTCTATATTTCCCACAATTTTACATTAGGTATAGTTAAATTTAAGAAAGCTGATTCAATAAGCTAAGCGAACTCTATTTAGGTACTTCACGTGTGTGTAAACATTTTGTTTTATATAAATTGCTTAATATCTGAAAATGATTTAATAAGCCATATTTTACAATCTTTCTACTAAATAACAGAAAACTAAATAGGTACTAAATAAAAATAAAACAAAATACCAGAATAGTAATTAGAACAAATCATATTTTAAGATCCCGTTGTATTTAGAATTTGTGCTATGTTATTGTGAACATATATCATGTATTTTTATTCTTAGTAGAGTAGAAAAAAAAGTGCTTACCAAAGGCTCCAACAAGGAGAATGGACAACAACACTAAAGGAGACATAATTGTAACTGATACGGATTCGATTGCGACTATTCCTTTTATACAAAAATTTCTTATATTAACATATATTAATTAGCATGCTCTCAAAATACCAAAACCGTATTCCAAATAATAAAATATTTTCGTAAAGAGTACTTAAAAGTTAATGTTAACTACTGAAGTGGGAATTAAAAAAATTCGATAAGGTTTTATTTACATAGAACTGACATCTCATCATTCTTTTGTAAAGATACTCTTAAATAGATATATCTCCATATATTACAGTCCTTAAAAAATACAGAGTAGAAATAAATATTCAACTTTTCTTAGGGGGTCTTCTACTTTGTCAGGTCAAAAATTTTGTTTTTATGAACAACTCGAATTCTGTGAATAAGTTAAAATGAATGGTACTTGCAAGAGGAAGCTGGCAATATTTCTCTGAATTTGTTACCACCCACAAAGTCAACACAACGGTACGAAAAGTATTATGAATTGTCCAACAACTGGAAAAGGGATAGAAAAGACAAAAACTTAGCAAAAAGATCAAAGATTGTAAATGCAGGTACACTATGGTCCGTATTTTCAATGATGAAAAGTACTTTTAAAGTAAGGAAAAATCTTAACTTTGATAATTTTCATAAAGTTCGAGCATTTTTTAAACAAAATTCTGTAAATTACCCGCCCGAAAAGTCTAAAAGTTTGGCTCAATAACAATGTATTAAATTCTTCAAGAAAGCACATCATTCGGAATATCTTATGATGAAAGTAAACTAAGTTGAATTAATTATGTTTTTTTAATTAGCATTGCATTATAGGTTTCTCATATTGTGGGAGCTTGTCATCGAAATGAGGAGACATATTGATTGTTACAGTTCCACAAACAAAAAATTATATTACAAGCACGTTTACAGTCACAAACAAAACAATTGATGAATTGAATCTATTACAACATACAGCAAATACGCTTCCCTTGGACCTACCCACACTCCTCATAATCGTCTGTTCATTTATTATAGGAATAATAAAAGCACAGTGCAACCGATAGGAAAAAATGTATTTAGCAAAATTCCAAGCAAAATATCCACTTTTTTAAACTGCCTGAACCTAATAGATACCTACACAAGACATTGCTTCCGTCGTAGTTCCACAACCCTACTAGCTAACTCTGAGAGTGATTTACTAACACTTAAAAAAACATGGAGATTGGCGTTCTTCTGCAGTTGCAGAAGGATATATCGATGACTTCATTACATTCTAGTTAACACTATAATCAGTCACACATCCACATACTAAAATGCCATTTTCTTTTCTTATTTCTGGTGAACTGGAAATTTGGAATCGTTGGTACAACCCGACAACTTTTTGGATGTTGTCGGAACGCTGTACAGCGGATTTTTGTCCTTAAAACCATTAAAATGTTTGAACAACCTCTTAATATTAATAAACATAATAAAGTTTCAACGTTTTCAACAGTTAGCAGGCGAAACGGGCCAAGCATATCCTAATTGCTAATAAGCTTCATGACCTCTACCTCTTTTAGTGTGTTTTTCTGGTTCCATGTAAAAAATTCCTATAAAACATCCGAAAAAAAAAACAGCCTTCAAAGTAAAAGACCCCCTCAAACAATAAAGGTGACGATTTATATGGATTTGGTTCAGATGTCAGCGAAATAATATCAGTTCTTCATATAAATAAAATGTCAATGGTGACAAATGCTACAAACTTCAAAAACTTCTTCTCTCTTTCTTTCTCTTTATTATTTACGAATCGCGAGAATTGCACAGTATGGAGCTAGAATACATGCTATACAATTCTTGTAATTTGTAAATAATAAAATGAAAGAGAGTTTTTGAAGTTTGGACCATTTGTCACCATTGACATTTTATTTATATGAAGAATTGATATTATTTTGACCTCATCCATTTGTAATTGGCCTTTTTTGAATCAATTACCAGGACACCCTGACCCAAATATGGATCCTTCGGAAATGGTATGTGGGTCTCTTGGGTTTGGACTTTTTTTGTGTTCCTATGTAATTGTTCGACGGAACAAGTGAGGATATTAATAGACACTGATCTAGCCTTGAGGAATGTATCCTTCTAATTTGTCTTATCTGGTTCCACTTCTTTTGATTATTTTCGTACAAAATATTTAAGTTATCTGTATTTACATTATATCTATGTATGCTACTCTCAATATAATATGAACTACGATAACAATTGTATTGCATCACTGCAAAAAAATGTTCCGCAATGATTTAATTGTACAGAGCCTTATAGACAAGGCGAAAACCTCGCATTCGTAGGAGAAATTTTCCGACCCGATTTTTTTGCATATTCGAATTCGTGGGATGTTCCTTAACATGAATCAAGATGATACCGGCCGGAAATCTGGTGCACATTTGTTTAAACAAACTTTTTTTAAACAAATTGTAAAAATTGTTTTTTCACTTGCTTTAGGTTTTTTGGCACATTAGAAACAAAAAAGTTCCTATGCACTATGCCTCTAAAATTTATAGTTTTAAAGTTATAAACAATTTAAGTTGCTAAAAATGCGAAAATGACGATTTTCAACGACCGATTTCCGGGTTAAAAATTGTTATTTTTGATGTTGCCAGGTGCCTAAATTAAAGTTTAAACATCCCCCTACAAGATGCTGAAGTGTTTTCGGACTCGCATTATTCTAAAAGAATTCTCACACTGTTCTATGTTAAAGCCACATAAAGGTACACAAGTGACATAGTTTTTCTTACAAGAACAAGCTTTAGTCTTACAGTTTTTTGTACATTTACATTGTTTGACTAAGTCTTTGGATAATGGATCTTTGGAAATGATAATAAGCTGAAGCCGCTAGACGAAATAGCGAATCCGCGGCTCATAGCGCTTTATTAACAATTAAAAACAAGGCTTTAGAATAACGCGAGTCCCAAAAATTCTTCAGCATCTTGTAGGGGGATGTTGTCTTGTCAGTAGTCCAATTAAATAAGCCTTTAAATCGAAATTTTGGTCAACTTGCCTGAATTTTTGATATGAGTTAGTTTGAGGAATGTTATAACAATAAGTGACAGTAATTTTTTGTTCAACCCCCGGCGTAGGGTGAAAAAAGATAAAACAAAGGGGTTTTTCAAGTTAACTCAAAACGGGTAAGGGCTAGAAAAAAAGTTTCGTATAAAAGTTGTAAAGCATACAATTCTACATATCTACATCTTGATTTTTTCTTGTATTATTAAAATTAACAGAGTTAGGGAGGCTGAAGTTAAGGGAAGATTTCAGAAATTTCAAAAAATAAGCAGAAAAATGAATGAATTTTGTAATTTTTTTTCGATCTACTCTAAAAAATGTAACCTTTCTTTTCAGAGAAATAGATATATTTTTTAATTTTTAATAAGAAAGTTATAACAATTTCAAATTTTTAATCGTTAATTTTAATGATTCGATTGATTATTTAACATAATGAAAAGTTGCCTTCGAATTTTTTTTTTATGTTTGATTTGTAGACATACAAATTTATTTACATTTTTACCTTTTGAATTTTATTTAGCTCCTACGACACGGCCAGAACAAAGATAGAAAATCACGTTCGCTTTGTCGCACTCATGGTATCGAAGTCGTGGACAACTCGTATCCTATGACAAAGATAGATAATTTCGCTCGATGTTGTCGCACACATTACAGTTCTTGTATTTGTCAAAGCGCGTGCGCACACTTACCATTGTAAGAGTACAACTCATTAGTTGTAGGTTGTAGCTGTTGCATATTTCCATTATTTTAAATGCTTATTAGTCCAGTCGACAGAGGCCGAAAAGTTACTGTTGGTGACATTTCCTTAATAACCTTGAGTACAATAACAGGTTAATTTGCTGACAAAGTATTTTATCAGGAAAAAAGTTATTAACAAATTTAATTGCAAAAATTCGCTTTTTTAGTAGTTTTCTTTAAATANGTATTGAATTCTCGAAACCGAGAGAGTTGTGCGAAACTAAATTTGTACAGGACATAGTTGCTAATACAATGCGAAACATCGCCTTAATTTTAAAAATGTTGTCACCGCCGTTCTTGGTTGTGAAAATTCGAAATATTTGGAATTATTCAAATTTCGTGGCTAAAAGCATACATAGATATTGACATCTCGAAACCGAGAGAGTTGTGCGAAACTAAATGTGTACTTGACATAGCTAGTACCATGCGAAACATCGCCATATTTTTAAAAATGTTGTCACCGCCGTTCTTGGGGGTGAAAATTCGTAATATTTGGAATTATTCTAATTTCGTGGCTGAAAACGTACATAGGTATTGAATTCTCGAAACCGAGAGAGTTGTGCGAAACTAAATGTGTACAGGACATAGCTAGTACCATGCGAAACATCGCCTTAACTTTAAAAATGTTGTCACCGCCGTTCTTCGTTGTGAAAATTCGAAATATTTGGAATTATTCAAATTTCGTGGCTGAAAACATACATAGGTATTGAATTTTCGAAACTGAGAGAGTTGTACGAAACTAAATTTGTATAGGACATAGTAGCTAATTCGATGCGAAACATCGCCTTAATTTTAAAAATGTTGTCACCACCGTTCTTGGTTGTGAAAGTTCGAAATATTTGCAATTATTCAAATTTCGTGGCTGAAAACATACATTGAATTCTCGAAACCGAAAGAGTTGTACGAAACTAAATTAGTATAGGACATAGTAGCTAATACGATGCGAAACATCGCCTTAATGTTAAAAATGTTGTCACCGCCGTTCTTGGTTGTGAAAATTCGAAATATTTGGAATTATTCAAATTTCGTGGCTGAAAACATACATAGGTATTGAATTCTCGAAACCGAGAGAGTTGTACGAAACTAAATTTGTATAGGACATAGTAGCTAATACGATGCGAAACATCGCCTTAATGTTAAAAATGTAGTCACCGTTGTTGTTGGTTGTGAAAATTCGAAATATTTGGAATTATTCAAATTTCGTGGCTGAAGACATACATAGGTATTGAATTCTCGAAACCGAGAGAGTTGCGCGAAACTAAATGTGTACAGGATATAGCTAGTACCATGCGAAACATCGCCATATTTTTAAAAATGTTGTCACCGCCGTTGATTATTCAAATTTCGTGGCTGAAAACACACATAGGTATTGAGAAAACTGAGAAAGTTGTACGAAATTTAATTAGT